CACGCTGCCCCCACCCCCCCACGGGTGCAGGGGGGGAATCGCCAGCTTCCAAGACCTTTTGAGAGGCTTTCAAGCCTCTCAAAAGGTCCTGGAAGGTTGCTATTTCGCCCCCACTGGCCCCGTGGGGGGTAGGGGAGTGTCGCAAGGGTCCTGGAAGGCTCCCACGGACCCTTGCGACGCTGTCCCCCACGGGGCCAGTGGGGGCGAAGTCACCACCTTCGCTCCATAAGACGCACAGACATTCTACCCCTCTTTTTGGGGGGGGGGAAAGTGTGTCTTATGGTGCAAAAAATACGGTATATTAAACGCCTTTGTAAGCAATAAAATTTCAATTCTACACACACATGTAGTGAATTCATAAGCACCCTACAGCAGAACCTATTTCTGAGCAGACAACCACAAGATTCTGCCATCACTAATTTAAACATTGTATGTATCACCGGTCACTAATGGTGACCAGTGATACATACCATGTTTCCCCGAAAATAAGGCGGGGTCTTATATTAATTTTTTGCTCCAAAAACGCATTAGGGCTTATTTTCAGGGGAAGTTTTATTTTTATTTTTAAATGTATAACAATCTATATTTCTTCAAATACAGTCAAGTCATTTTCTTTTGCTTGCTGCACAATGGTGGAGGGAGGGGTTCCAATTAACTGAGGCTTATTTCGGGGGTATTTCGGGTAGATGAGGCTCATCAGCCTGGGAAGGCAGCCCATCTAGAAGAAGGAAACCTCCAGTTTCAAACCTCCACTGCCTTGTGGCTATATCCACTGATGGAAAAGGTTTCAGGAGTTAACCTTGAGGCAAAATCTGGAGCCAGAGTCCTGGAGGCAGTTCGTGCCTGTATTGGCTCTTGCCTTTCCATTGGACTATTTCAGCGATGTGGAGAGGGGGGATTTGCTTCTTGGGTAACAGCCTATCCTCCATATTATTTTACCTGGGCTTCATGCTCTGGAGAGGACACTCCAGCTTCACATACAGCGTCGAAGTGCTCCATACAGAGAAAGAAAACTTGTCTAACTTTGCTTTTGCTATAACTGCTTAGCATTCTAGTAAGGCATCAAACCTAAATGCTTTCTTTCATCAAATTAACATTGGATTTCACAACTGAAACAAATCCTTTGCAGGTGTCACACAACTCGACTACCAGTTACCTCTCTGAAAACTATATGTATCAAAATCAGAAAAATAATTACAGGAAAACTATATACAGGGATATGCTCAAATTGCTATACCATAAACAACAAAATTCAGCTTGAACTTGGTTCTAGATAACAATCAATTAGCACCACATAACAAATATATCTTCTGATTAAAGGAAGGTATACATACATGGAATATTTCAGTACATCAAGTGCAATTTACCCTTAAGATCATAATTATTGGGAAAATTCAGTAACTACATTAAGTATCAGTTCTAAGATGACTGCCACCAAAATTGGGCATCCACATAGACATACACACATATATTTTCCTGTCAATGATCAGTGTCAAAACATGTTCAGCCTACTAAAAATGTTCACATATATGTATAATATTTTAATGGTTACTTATTGGTAATTCGTTATTTAGAATTCAAGTTCATATTCAAGTAATTTGTGCATTACACTGTTTTATTCCTTGATTTCCTTTATTTTCTTGCTTGTCATTGTTAGGTAAAAGCAATTTTTGCTTTCTGTATTGGGGGCCTTGCTCTTGAAAGTAGACAAAACACACTCCTGATTCAAGAAACCATTCTGAAGATAGGGAAGATGTACAACTTCCCTATTCATCAACAACAAGGAATTCCTATTCCTCTTTCCATTACAGTCTGGCAATCAGAATGGATCTAAAACAATCCTGTGAAACGTTGGGATCTACTTATTTTCAGCAGGAGAGAGAACATCCCTGAAAAGAGATGCTACATCTGAACATAGGTTGCTAGCTAGAGCCTCCATATACTGTATTTAATAAATAATCAAAGAGGAAGAGGCATGTAGCAAGTACTCCAACCACATCTAGCAGTGCCTTGTGTTCTTTTTACTCTCTGTATAGAAGTGCAGTATTTTCAGACTTGTGGACAATATGCAATGTAAGAAAAAGAGAAAGATCAGCACATAATTCCACCGAAGTAAATGTTAAAGTTACAGTTCTAAAAAAAACCTAGATTAATGTCCTTCAACAATCTCATAAGACTCCAGATGTCAGACTGACTCCCCATCACTATTATCAATTATTTCCTAAGCATAAGAATTTCACCAGGAAAGTTAAAGACCAAGCTTCTCTGTGATTCCTTTTCAAAATGGACAAGCAGCAAAAATACAACAATTCTGTTTTAAGAACCTCTTTCAGACAGTCAGTCACTAATGCTTGCCTGGAGAGAAAGATCTTTGCAAAGGACAGCAAAGATGGGGCCAGTCTGGCCTCCAGTGGGAGGGAGTTCCAGTGTCTAGGAGCAGCAACAGAGATCCTTTCCCATGTCCCCACCAAATGGGCCTCTTCTTTCAAATTTCTGAAATCCACACAGAAATTCATACTGCAGGGGGGGGGGGTTAAACACTGAAACTGATCATCTGACCATGTGGCCATACCCATTTGTTTACCAACACTTGAATTAAAACAAAATAAACTAAAAAGTATGCTGCTTTAAAGTGAAAAGAATAATGAAAAAAGACTTACAGCAAGAGCAGGCATTTTCTGTTTGCAACCAAATATATGGTTTCCAGTTAATATAGACGTGTATTCCAGGTAGAAATACAAATAACTACTTTGCATCTAAATCCTATAATCTAATACAATATTCACAAGCACTCTTTTATTTACTATGCCAATGCATGCTTGCAAAATAATAATAAATCTTTGATTTATTGCTGCCTATTGTTAGCCTTTAACCTAAGTGTTAACCAAATAATCTGTAACTATAAACAGGCTGGCTGGATAGCTCAGTGGTGGGAGTTCAATTCCCCACTATGCCTCCTGGAAAAACAGCCAACCTCTGTAATCCTGGGCAAGCTGTGCTCCCAGAAAGGAACAGTAAATTTCTGAATATTCTCTGCCTAAGAAACCCTGAAATGGGTCACTGTAAATTGAAACCGACTACTTCCTAAACATATTCAACAGCCAAATCTTCCATTACCTGTTTGATAAGCCCACAAAAGAAAATGTGGTTGTGCTTCATATTTATTTATTTACAGTAATTTATTTATTTAAAATATGCATATGGTGCCCTTTTTTTCCTACAGGAACTGAGGCAGCTTACAGCACTGAAAGAAACTAAAGATACAAGCCAAATATTAAATTATTACAAGAGAATGGCGAATGAACAACTAAACATTTCTAAAATTCACGTCTATTTTTCCACCCTCGAAGGGAGCTCTCTATCCACGACCTGCCCCTCTCACATCTATGAAAGGCCGACAAAGGGGATTCCTTCATCAGGCCGTCGACCCCACACCTCTTTTAGGGGGAGCCAATCCTGCGAAATGGGGGCAGGTGGGTGGCTGGGCGGGAGGTAAAGTTGGCCGCTCTTCCGCGGCGGAGGGAAGAGGGCGGGAGAGAAGCGGGGGAAGATCCCAGGCAAACGACGGACACCGGAGCTGCCAAGCCTGTAAAAAAGCCAAACCGGGGCTCCGCGCCAGGCTTGCAACAGGTGCGGAGCCGGGTCGCCCGGAGGCGGAGGTGCGGGGGGGAAGGAAGGAAGGAAGGAAGGAAGGGGCGCTGCCGCCCACCTCCGCCTCCTCCTCCCGGCCGCGTTTCAAAGCCCGCGCCACACGCAGCCGACCGGAGGCTGGGCCTCAAACGCCCCCGCGGCCTCTGCTTGGCTCACCACCGGGCCCACCTTCGGGAAGCGGGCGGCCCAGCGCCGCGCCCGGCCGGAGCCCTCCT